GAAATGCCGTCCAGGACGGTGCAGGCCGCGCTGCTCGCGCGGCTCCACAAACACCACCACGTCTGTGCCTGAGCTGAAGAGCGCTGCGCTCACAGTGCGCACCAGGCACTTAGAGTTTTGGCGTGCTCGAGACTCGAGAGCTCGACACTGCTCTAGGAGTACAGGACAACTGCAATGATTGTGCTGAAAGTGATAAGAGTGCCGACATGTGTGCCGAGAGAGAACAAGCAAACGAGAATGTGATGGGGGGTCAGTCGGGAGCGTCGCCACATGTGAAGGTTGAGGTTTTCAGCAAAATTATAACGTCATACATGCGTAAGGGCTGCCTCACACGTCCAAGACGCCAGCCAGTCCGCTGTCCCCATCCGAGCAAGCTGTCGGGCATTTGCGCCGTGCGAGAAGCTGCCATTGGAAAGAGGAGAGAGGGATTGCGGAGGATGTGCTGGTTATGCCTAGTAGTTGACGACCGATGCTTCTTCTCCTCGATCCACCGCCGCACGGCACCTTCAGCAGCTGCTTCTTCCCACGGGTCGTGCCAGATCTCATCTTCCGTCAGCGCGCGCATTGTGCCGCCCGCTGCAAGCCACCCGCATGCGTCCGGTGTGAGTGAGTCTCGCAGACTCGCATGCCGAGTGTCCTGAGCAGTGCAGGTCTCTCCTCCTCCGGGCCGTCAGCGTCGCGGCCATTCCCGGTCCCGCGGCCGGCACTGAGGGCCGATTGCGGCCGGATGGTGGTTTCTTTGCCCAGGGCTGGCCTTCCCCCCAGGCTGGATCAGCTGAGCAAGGTTTGAGGAGAATCCTATAGTAGGATCTTCAGATATTTTGACGGATGACCGAAATCACCCCGTTTTCGCCCCACCCACCTATCTACCCCACGTCTGCTTCGTCGGCCGGCTCGCCTCGTACAAGTACTTCAACATGGACCAGGCTATTCTCAACGCGCTCGAGATATACGACAATTACAAGGAGGCAGGCAAGTTCGCTCCGAAGCCGCGCCCCGAGGATTTCGGCCCCGGAGACGGCCCGAAGTGACGCGGGCGATAGTCTCGCTGCGAGCAGCGGAGGAGAGGAACGCTGCTTTTAGGATGGTGTTTGAGTGAAAGAATGAAGAAAAACAGGCAAGAAGCAGAAACCGCGAAACGGGTTTTTCCTGCATCCCGTCATCTTGGGCCGACCTCGGCAGCCAATGCTCCCTTCGGGTGCTCTCAGCTATCATAGCTCTCGGCTGATCTCGGCTGATCTCGGCTGATCTTGGCTGATCTCGGCTGCGTCTCGGCAACTCAAGCAGCGCGGCGGCCGTTCCCCGCATGGTGGCATCTGACGGCGCGGCGGCGCTCCAAGGTGAGAGAGGCGAGTGGCGCTCGCGCGACACGGCGGAGGTGCCACCCGCCGTTGAGCGCAGACGCTTTGGTTGGCGCGGCGGCGGCGGAGCATGTGCTCAGGTCGATTTTGCGCCGGCGCTCGTGACGCTGCGCCGGCTCGGCCGGTGAGGGGGCGGGCACTCATTCGGATCCGAGCGTGCGCTGAGCAGGCACTGGCAGGGATGGACGTGAGTGAAAAAAACGCTGCTCGTTGCAAAAGACGCAGCATCGGCAGCGAGAGGAGCGCCACATCTGCGTCTGCGTAGACTCCGCCGTAGAGGTATAGCAGCGCGTACCGTGCCATGTCGACCCTCTCAATCGGTGTGCGCATGCGGCCGATTCGTGCGGCCAGGTGCGGAAAGGCGCGCCGAACCAGAGGCTGCAGGTCGGCGTCGCGCCACCGAAGCACGCGGACGCCCGGCTGCCGCCATGTGCGTAGGAATGCAGACCACTGTTTCTTCCACTTGTTCGACTGCTGCGCTGGGAGGAGCTGGTGCAGCAGTACGGTGCTATTGTCCGTGGGCGGTCGTTGGTGCTCCATGGCAATAGAAGAAAAACTCCGGGCGCGGCGGTGGTGCGTCGTGTGTGTGTGTCTGTGTGAATGCGACAAGGATAACACTTCGCGGTGTACATGTAGTTGAGCACCTGCCCCCGGCGGGTCCGCGAGCAGCGGCGCGTGACAGCCTGCGCGCCCTCGCAATCGCCGCCGCGGTCAGGCCACAACCCAATCCGGGCCACTCGTCCCGCAAAACCGCTCGCCGCCAACTGTGAGGAAGTCGTACTCGCATAGGCCCGTTCTGCTCCGCTCCACGTCAAAGACAAGCACGCTGAGCGGAACGGCCGGCAAGCCTCTGATTGTGCATCGTTGGAGTGATGAGTACATACCTGGAAAGCCTGGGCTCGTTGCGCACTGCTTTTGCACATTGAGGCCGCAGGGGCCTATGACGGTTGGCAATCCAGTCTGGATGGTAGTCTCAAGAAGGGCGCTACTGGCGTTAGGGAGGGAGGTGGACTCGTTGCTCATGGGCGACAGCGGCGCCGCTGGCTCGGCCCTCTGGTTGCTGCGCCTAGTCAGCGCGAGACGCGGATTGCGTTTTTGCCCATTTTCGGTCATCCGTCAAAATATCTGAAGATCTGACCGGGGGATTCTCCCCAAACCTTGCTCAGCTGATCCAGCACGGGCCGTAGGCCAGGCCTGGGCAAAGAAACCAGTACCTCATCAGGCTTCCCTGAGCGTCACAGCTCGGTGATCGCGCCGGCCGGACACCAC